TAGAGTAAAAGATAAGAAGCAGCAGCTTGATTACTTCCCAATGCGACAGCTGCCTTGGCCAGCCCAGCTAGGATGCCATGATTACATTCCTGTTCTCAGTATTTGTGTCAGAGAAGTTAAAACCAAGCCTGGATAAACAAGAGAAGAGAAATACTGTTAGAACCTTATCAGGGATCTGCCACTTACCAGGGTTTCTCCAGAATGTGCCCAGAAGAGACCGTGTGGTTCTCTCCTCCACTCTTGCATGCAGAAGAACAATTAGGTTTAGAAATGATGAAATCAGGACATTATTAGGAAACTCAAATATAGTTCTCTGCCCACTGATGTGTCTTCAGAAAGTAGATCCTGTTTAAAATGGCTATCTTGGAAATGAGTGCGCCCCAGTGTCATATCTTGTAGATAGACCCCTGGGACTGACTTGTCTGATGTGACAAAAGGCAATTTATTTGTTTGAAGAACTGAGTGGTTATGGAAAGCCTGAGTTGGTTTTTGAGAGAAAATATCCACAACTCATGGAGTTTATGTTGTAAACAACAAAATGTAGCTATTCCCTCTCTTTCTTTCTCTCCCTGCCCCCCCATATTCATCCAGAAATAGTCCATATCAGTTTAACCTCATTGCTTTTGCTAAGTGTAAAGCTTCCTCCTCACATTGGTTAGTTCAGTGGAACCCTTTTTTTAAAAAAATGAAATCTCCTAAAAGACACAGGTGAGAGAAAAGCAGCTGTGGGAGCATCAGACTCCTGCCCTTTGGCCTCCCATTTGCTGGCTCGCCTTGCCAGGCCCCTGGAGGTCCTCTGAGGAATCCAAAAGCTCCCTGAATACAGTCTGAAATTGGTGGGTGTGGTGTAACTTGACTGGTTCATCAGCCTGGGCTGAGTTGCAAAGTTCATCTTTGTTCCTGAGCTTCTTTAAAAAAAAAAAAAGAAAAAGAAAAGAAAACCCACAAAGCAAGTATTTTTAAAATGTTAACAGATGTTGATTCTAGGTAGTGAGTGGTTTATTATAATATTCTTTGTATCTTTCTGAATTTCTTCCCCTAAACAAGGTTTAAAAATAGTGGGGGTGGTGGGGAGAATAAATGTTTGTATACTGGACCAAATATGACACAGGTCCTGGGGAGAAGTTTGTTTTCAAGCCATTTAGCCTTGTGTGACCAGACATGCTGTTAGAGGCTGTGGGGGAGAAGTGGTGTGTCATGCTTATGGTGAGGACATGGGTTCTAGGCCTTCTGGGGAAAGGGAGTGTCTTTAAACAATCAATGGCACAATAAAGGGACTGTGGTTTGAATATTCAGTAACAGTTAAAATACATAACATCACTGAGATATATAGTGCATATATATATGTATGTACATATAAAGACATATATCCGTGTATGTATAAAGTAAGTTGGTATTTGGTGTGTAGATATCTGCTTACAAATATCTGGCCCCTCCTTAAAATGTAAATTCCATTAGGGCAGAAGCCTGGTCTTGGGCAGGAATCTCAGATCCTTCTGCCCCTTCCTGTGCAGGTTGTGAGTCAGGTAATTGAAATAAGGTACTGGCAGCTTTATGCAAGGTAGACATACTTTATTCTTAAGATGTATTTCACAGACATGCTTTATCCTCAGACACGAGCTCAGGCTCTACTCCACTGACCTTCCATGCTCAGCCCTCCTTCCGTGTTCTGCCGACCAGCAGTTCAGAGCAGTTACCTTTATACTTTTAGTACACAATAGCAGCCACAAGCCAAGCATCACATAATTACAGCAATTATGCTTAATCAGTAAATGGGCACACATGTGCAGTTACACTACTTTAATAACTTGTTTCTAGTGAATGTGCTGAATCTTGCCCATTTGTAACAGATGCAAGGCAAGAGATCCTGACTAAACTTTTTCTACTTTCCTTACACCTGGCTTGTTCACTGTTCAAGCTATGTGTTTTGGGCACATAGTAGGCACTCAAAAAATTTTTGAATAAATGAATGAATATAGTCCTCTTTCTTTGAATGTTCTCATGGAGAACAAGGATGGTATCTTGTATTCTTTGGTATCTCCAAGGACTCAAGAAATGTTTGTGATTTTGATGTTACATTTCATTCAGCAATTCTTACTGAGCATCTACTACGTGCCAGCCACTGTGCTAGGTACTGAGGATACAGCGGTGAATAAAATTGAGAAAACTCTTGTCTTCACAGACCTTCCATTCTAGTGAGAGGGAGCAGACAATAAATATAATAAACAAATAAACCATTTGATGTTTTTTGTTGATGGTGGAATATCATTAATTCTCTTTTCTTCCTGATAACTCTGAAGGGCAAAGTGTTACACCCTTTTTGTAATAACATAACTCAGCCCCTCCTGCCAAGCCCCTGCAGGAACAAAGAAAAATGCAACGGAGGAAACGGGAACATGTTGATTCATAAGCCATGAAAAGGGTAGAAGGAAGATAAGGACAAGAAAAGGACAGTAGCAAAAGGATTATTGCTACAAGGCAGAGTGGCTCCTCCACAGCCTAGAGTGGCTCCTCCACAGCCGAGCTACATGCCTGTCAGCTTGCCGCTGATTCCTGACTCCTTTCACCACACCTGTGCTTCCCATCCTTGAAAGCCCTTCCTGATGTTTGCAGTGGAGGCCTCTGAGTGATTGACCCTGAGCTAGCCATTGCCAAGGTCTCCCTACTCACTACTCACAGCAGGAATAATACATCTGCCTGTGTTCTTTCTCCTTCCATCTCAAGACATGTAACAATGGATTCAGAGCAAGGAGTAAGGAGTTTTATCTCATATAAAAATAGCTTGGGCCTTAAAAAAATACTTTTTCTTAAATACATGCATTATCATTTGATCCATTCAAGACCACAGCAAGGTGATGAAGATTACAGTTAGGGTGCCCAATGCCCCAAATTACCCCTCTGTTGTCCTATCCCAGCATCTTATCTGGCTTACCATTCGTCCTGGATTTTTAAAAAAATAGACCTGGGCCGGCCCGGTGGCGCACTGGATAAGTGCGCCGCTTGGGAAGCGCGGCGGCGCTCCCGCCCGAGGGTTCGGATCCCACATGCAGACCGGTTCCCGCTCACTGGCTGAGCGAGGCGCGGGAGCAGCACCGAGGGTTGCAATACCGTTGCCGGTCCCCGGTCCGGTTCTGGCTTACCATTCGTCCTGGATTTTTAAAAAAATAGACCTGGGCCGGCCCGGTGGCGCACTGGATAAGTGCGCCGCTTGGGAAGCGCGGCGGCGCTCCCGCCCGAGGGTTCGGATCCCACATACAGGCCGGTTCCCGCTCACTGGCTGAGCGAGGCGCGGGGGCGACACCGAGGGTTGCGATTCCGTTGCCGGTCCCCGGTCCGGTACGGGGGCAACACTGAGGGTTGTGATCCGTTGCCGGACACGGAAAAAGACAAAAGACAAAAAAAAAAAAATAGACTTAATTTTTTAGAGCAGTTTTAGGTTCAGGGCAAAATTGAGCAGAAGGTGTAGAGAGATATCTCGTATAACCCTGCCCCCGGACATGCACAGCCTCCCCCACTATCAACATCCCCACCAGCGTGGTACGTTTGTTATGATGAATTAACTTACATTGGCATATTATCACCCAAAGTCTGTAGTTCACATTAGGGTAAATTCTTGGTGCTATACATTCTATGGGCTTTGCCAAATGTATGAGGGTTCTTCAAAAAGTTGATGGAAAAATAGAATTAAAAGATAACACAAATCTTTCCACGACCTTTTTGAAGACGTCTCATGTAATGACATGTATTCACCATTAAAGTGTCCCACAGAATAGTTTCACTGCTCTAAAATCCTGTGCTCTGCCTGTTCATCCCTCTGTCCTGGATTTTTTATTTTGGAATAAAGTATTCTTAGGATATATTTGAGAGAATTAACAACATAGTAAAACTACTTTCTAAGTCAATAAATATTTCAAGAAATTATGTAAATTTAATTATTTTTAGAGCCCCTTGTACTTTCAAAGGGGTTCCAGTTTGGATGATAAATTACATGGTCTCCATGGTTATAATCTAGGGAATCTCCCTTGGGTGTCTGGCCAGTCAGGTATAGAGCAGGAGTAAAGCCTGGGTCTCTGGACTTCTGGTAATCTCTATACCAAAGACACAAAGTCTGCTGGGGAGGTGACTCAGACCTCAAGGCTTATCACACCCTTTCCTTGTTTTGAAGTGGTTATGAAAGTGGGATTACTTCTCTATTTCTACTTTAGATATAAGAAAATTCACTGCATAAGTAAATAAATAATGAACCCAATAAGGGATGAAATAGACAGCAAGAAGTCCGAGAGATCAAGACTCAGGCAGGCAAGCTGCCTAGAGAGGATGAAATACTGCTACAAAGTAGAAGGTTGGATTTAAAAGGAGTACTATGCTTGGAGAAGATTCCATAAACTGAGTCAGTGAAGAACAGCATCTTCTCTGACAAATGTTTGATGGTATTTTGAGACTGAAATTAGTTGTTTCATTTGCATATTTCTGGGACATAGTGCATCTGTTTATCCAGTAGAATGAGTCTGTGTTCTGATCAAATATATACCAAAATTGCCTAATACAATAATTAACTGTTCTGTAGTATTACCCACATATAATTTTAACACAATGTTATCATCCTGAAGATTGAAGTGATTAACTTTTCCATAGCAAATCAGAAGGAAATGGTTTCAAGGAGGCTTAGGTTCCCATAAAGGCTGATTTCTTCTCTTATATTCATTTTAACACATAGTATTTAGAATGCGTCCTGCTGTAAAAACACATCATTATCCTAAGTCAGACAAGAAAAAGCTGTCACTCTTTTGCAGACTGTATCACAAAGGGTGGGGGAAACATCCAACACATGTAAGGCAATGGTAAATAACAGAAGGGTGTGAGGAATTGATTCTCTTCCTCCAGGAATTTTCAAGTGTGTTGTATTTGATGCTATCCAGGTGAAAGAGTATTTACTTTGTGTTTTTCTTTTACTTGTGAATAGTATGAAGATATGCTTTTATTGTATTTATTTTTGTCAGGCCTCTCTATTCGGAGTGTGTGCTGGAAAGCAGACCGCCTTCTAGCCGGGACCCAGGACAGCGAGATATTTGAAGTGATTGTGCGAGAGAGAGACAAGCCGATGTTGATCCTGCAGGGCCACTGTGAGGGGGAGCTCTGGGCTCTGGCCCTGCACCCCAAGAAGCCTCTGGCTGTGACAGGCAGCGATGACCGCTCTGTCAGGTGAGCTCTGTGCACCTTGCTGACTTTCTTGGGGTAACAGATCTTTCTTGCCCAAATTTGCTTGTAATTTAAGGATAAACTGCAAATTCAGAACCACACGCTTTCCGAATGAAATGTTGAGATATTTAGCTCAATAACAGTTGGCTTCTTGGCATTATGTTGTTGGTATCTTTCTTTGGCTCCATCTTAAGTCATAAAAATGTTCTGAGTGAAAATATACGAATACCGTGTAAATAACAGTCTGGCTTCCAGTACTCTTTCTAGTTCAGGATACAAGCTAAGCACACTTATCTGTGATGAGACCGTGTTTCCCCCTCCTGCCCTGGGTCTTCTGTAGAGGACTGCACAGCCATTTGACAATTTAGTCAGAGACTCTCTCATTCATCATCATTAGAACCTAAATTCTGATTTTTAAAGTTGTCCTTAGCACAGGAGTAAATGAACATTGTCTTCAAACTGAAGGAAAATGCTGGCTCCTGAGAAAAGCAATTTTATTAGGGCCTCGGGTTCTGGGATGGATCATTTGTTTTTCTTTGAGAGCACAATATTGGGTAAAATGAGCAAAACAAGTATGCCTATAGTATTCTTGTGACTGTGGAAGGAATGAACGTATGTTATAAACGTTTGAAATGAAGACTATTACACTGACTTTAGTATTTGTTACTGAGCTTTGAGTTTGCTCGACAGCAACCAGGCCAGAGAGAGCAAGTGAGAATGAGGAAAAGAATGATCAGTTGACTGATTTATTGCTGCTCCTGGGTTTTAATAGACTAGAGGTCCCTGCTTTTCCCGCCTTATTCTGTATGTTTATTAATCTGATCAAGATACAATCAGTGTACTCATTAATTCTTTTTTTTCAGTCTCTACCAAGCGTGAAAGCCTCAGCAATCTGAAAACCAGTGAGAACAACTACAGTTGTCTCTCCGTGTGGCACAAGTGTGTGTTTGGTTATACGTGCACATCTATTTACTTCCTCCTTTTCTCTTTCTCGTTCTTCCTTTACTCTGAGCTTTCCCAGAGCAGTCAGGACAATGCTACCAAGTCATTGAAACACGTGTGAAACTTCATTCATACCCATTCAGAAAGATGTGATTTCAGGAAAATCTTTGGCTTTTGTATTTTAAGAATTGTTCTGAGTTTAAGAATTGTAAACATCCCTGAGGAGCCCTGACTGCCAGAATCTGTCTTATTCCCTTTACCCATTAATTTGGCTGAAATGTCAATTGTGTTTTTCACTGAGTATTAAAATTTGGGAAGGGTAAAAGTTATAATTTCTTGAGAAGGATTAGCTTAGTGACTTTATAGAGATAATATCATTTACTGAGGAGGGATGGTTTCTTTGTGCTATTAAAGCAAAGCTTACATTGCTTAAAATAGTACAAAGTTAAAAACAGCATGGGATCATGAATAATGGATGAGACATTGAGAGAATACCATAAGCTTTAGGCCAAACAGCACAGGCTGCCTAAGGGACCAGTAAACTATTCAATGTGCAACTCTACATTGGCAGGCCATGACAGAGGACACTGGTGTGAAGCAACTATGTCCTTTCTGGTTGCTGTCAGTGTGGTGAGCAGGCCTTCCTGCCTTGGGCTGGCCGACGACTGTGAGAAGTTGGTGGTGTTCTGTTGTTGCTTTGTTCTCATGCTTAGGCTGTGGAGCCTGGCTGACCATGCCTTGATCGCCCGCTGTAACATGGAGGAAGCGGTTCGCAGTGTCGCTTTCAGCCCCGATGGATCTCAGTTGGCCCTGGGCATGAAGGATGGCTCTTTCATTGTTCTCCGAGTCAGGCATGTACTGATACTGAAAATGGTATTTAGAGATGCTCTCTTGTTAAAAATTAAGATTTTCCTGGGCATAATACATGCCAAGACCTTAGGAAAAATACATTTACTCTTTCCGATAGTGGATCATGGATCTATGGTATTCCTGTCTGTAATTCTGAAGTCCAAAACACTCTGAAAATCCAAAGTTCTCTGGTAACTTATTTGGCAGCACAGCATAACCCAACAAACTGATGTGAACCTGTTTATAGTCTATTAATCTCTTAGTAGGAATCATGTACCATGTGATTTGCTGAAAAAACATTGTGTTTAATACAGGGTGCTGCCCCAGCCCCCACTGGGGATATTACATAATATATAGTTTGTGAACCTTTCTAAAATCCAATGAATAACGAATTCCCAAGCACATCTGATCCCAAGGGTTTCGGATAAGAGATTGTAGGCTTTGTAGTAAGCCAAGAAAAGAGGAAGAAAGAATAAAGCAGCATCCAACAGCAACAGATTTTTAGAGGTGAGCTTGAGCATAAGCAATACTAAAATAAAATATTTCCTATTCACTAACATCCTATATTATTTTTACTGAACAAAAATGATGACCCACCCTTGTAATTCCTCTGAATGTATTAGTTCTCTTGGCTCACAATTTTGTGATTACAGAAGAGAAAGGCAGCTATAAATTAAATACTGCATGTTTTGCACAGAGAAAATTCTATATAGCTTTGATGAGTGCTCTTGGCACAGCTTATTACACTAAATTCTCATTACCAGCCACATATAACTCATTCCCGAGTTGGTGGGCAACATTTTCTTTCTCTGCTTAGTGAGGCATGAAAAGATGGCTAATTACCCGATTTCCTTTTTGATGGATTTCCTGAGCGAAAAAAAAAAAATCCCCTCGCACCTGTTTTATAGCATTATAGTACACTATAAAGTTATTAATAAATGATAGCAGGGTATGAGGGATTATTATGTGGAAGCAAATATTTGGTATTATTTATGCATTCAGTTTGCTTTGGACTTGAAGCCATCTTTACTGGCTCAGGGGACTTGCCAGTCACAATCCTGTCTCACAGCCATAGGAAAAACAACTTCAGTGAGGTTTCAAATGTGAGCAGGAATTCTTAAAGAATCTGATCAGAAAGGATACAAAATATCCCAGTGACTCAGCGTTTTCATCACTGATCTTTCATAATGAAAGTTAAAATGATTATATAACAATTCAGCATTAAAAAAGGTAATTTTTTTTCTTCTTTTTTTTTTTTCCCCTTTTGTCTTTTTTCATGGCTGGTAACAGGATCGCAACCCTTGGTGTTGCGCCCGCACCGCGACCGGCAACGGGATCGCAATCCTTGGTGTCGCGCCCGCACCGCGCTCAACCAGTGGGCGGACCGGTCTCCATATGGGATCCGAACCCTCGGTGGGAGCGCCGCGGCACTCCCAAGCGCCGCACTCCACCAAGTGCGCCACCAGGCCGGCCCTTTTCTTCTTTTTTGAATTGCTCTTTTGACAGCAATAATCACACCGAGTGCGCCACCAGGCCGGCCCTTTTCTTCTTTTTTGAATTGCTCTTTTGACAGCAATAATCATCAAGCTTAACAGTCGCTGGTTTCTTGTTCTTAAAGTATAAAAAAGACGGTTTATTTTTATGCTAACCTTAAATATATTTTACCTTTTTTCATGACGTAAAAACAATTTTACAAACTCTTAATTTTTTTAACAAAAATTTTAGGGAAAAATAATATATAGTTGAACAAGAGAGCAAATATGCACTTCATTAAATTTTTTGTTTTTGCCTTGGAAACCCAAAATATTATCTTAAATGTTTATTATTAATTTTTCTAAACTGGCCATAAATTTTAAATAGTAATTTATAACTTTTCTCAAAAATTAATCCTTTAATTTCCTATAGGTTTTCTCTCCCTTTCAAAACATTTTTTTTCTCTGACAAAACACGACTTGGGTTTTCTATTTCTAGGTTTGCTGTTTATCATTTTGCTTTTCATTCTTACAGAGATATGACAGAAGTGGTTCATATCAAAGATCGAAAAGAAGTCATTCATGAAATGAAATTTTCTCCCGATGGTTCTTACCTCGCAGTGGGATCCAACGATGGTCCAGTAGATGTGTATGCTGTTGCCCAGCGGTATAAGAAAATTGGAGAATGCAATAAGTCCCTTAGTTTCATTACGCACATCGACTGGTCCTTGGATAGTAAATACTTGCAAACTAATGACGGTGCGGGAGAACGTTTGTTCTACAAGATGCCATGTAAGTCATGTGTAGGCATTGGAAGTTCGTGAAAGCAAAACTTTGAACCGCATGAAGAAGATATAAGAGAATGTTGTGACCTCAGGGCAAGGAATGTTTTCTGAAACAAGATCTCCAAATCACAGGCTTTCAAAGGAAAGGTTGATTAATTGGGACACATTAAAATAAAAAATTACTGTATAGCAAAAGAGACCAGGGATATCATTTAAAGACAAGGCATAGACTAGGGTAGATATCTAGAATATATAGAGAATGACTAAAGATAAGTGAAAGGAAAAAAATACTGGAAAAGTGGGCAAAGTTCAAGTGACCAATAAACATATGAACTAGGAATCAGAGAAATGATCATTAACATGACAGTAAGGTTTCATTTTACTCTATTTCAATTGGCAAAATTAAATGTCCGGTCAATATTAAATGGTGAGAAGCAGGGAAATGGAAACCACATGTTCTGCTAGTGAGAGCATGCACAAAGGCACATGCATAAGAATGTTTGTTGTAGCAGTGTTTGTAACAGCCAGAAATGAGACACAATGCCTCAGTGTTTATCAACATGAGAAGAGTTTAATTGAATGTGGTATATTTATTTAATGGAATACCGTAAAGAACATAAGCTAGATTACTTGTGTCAATATGGATAGATCTCAAAAATATAATGCTGGGCAAACAAAAAGTTGCAGAATGTTATGTAGAGTGTGCAATCATTCATATAAAATTGTAGGACATGAAAACAAATTGTACTATTTATGACCATATACATATGTAGTGAAATGTTTTAAAAATGTATGGGAATGATAAACACCTAATTCAGGGCATTGATTACCTCTAAGAAAGGAGAGAGAAATGAAATTGGAGAGGAGTACCCTGTGGATTTTAACTACCTGTAGCATTGTTTTAAGCTAAAATTCTACTGTGATAAAGACAAAATGTTAAGATCTGTTGAAGATGGATGGTGCACATACTTGTTCACTATAGGAGTCTCTATAATTTTCTGTATGCTTGAAATATTTCATAATTTTTTAAAGTAGAGAAAACCTGAAATAGTTATAGAGCCAGCTTCCCGTATTTGGAGGTTCATGACCCATTTAGTTAATTATTCAAGTCCTTTGCTTATTATTCCCTCTTTCTTCCTTCTTCCTGCTCTTTGCCAATTTCATTGTTCATTAATATATCCCTAAGAGGTTGAATAAATAAATGGTGCTGATGCAATATAGTCATAATACTTCTGTCAGTGCCTTGCACACACAGTAATGCAGCAAGGTTAGAGATGAATGAAAATGAACTGGAGGTATAATTTGTGGGCTTCAGCTTGCAAGGCAGTAACGCTCCCATCATAACTCTGATACCAAGGGGGAGTCGGCTACATTATCATTAGGTAAACTGGTTTCTGCCAGAATCCAAAGGGAGCAGAACAGTCTATTGAATCTTTAAGATGGCCTGGGAGAATTAGAAACTATCTCTGGGATCAGCTTATAACTTCAAGACAATTTCTCAAGATTTGAATCCTCTAAGATTTGAGGATCATAGCCCTCATTTACTGTGATTGCTTTAGTCCCAAATCTGTGTTCTTCATAGTTGGAAGCCCTTATTATATGATTATTTGGCGAAATGTGCTTTTCGGAATTAAAAACAAGCAATTTTTATTTGTGACCCCATTATGCCTTTTATAAACAATTAATCTGATTTACATAGTACCCATTTAGTAACATTTAGTTTGTAATACTAAAATATTATAAATAAAAGATAAATTTCTGTATTTATTGTAATCTTTGATTAATAATTTTTAATGTAAGAGTAAAAATTTAACATGAATCTTGACCTCAATTGTATTTTGTCTTAAATTTTCTGTTGGAAAATTGTTTACTATAAAATAATGTCTAACATATAACTTCAACATTTTTAAGAGTCAGACTTATCAGTGCACCATTACTAGTTCTATATTTCTTTGGTCTATTTTCTTTGCTTGATATTATTTCACATTATTTTTACATATGTGTCGCCACCTAGTACCCCGAGGGGAGATGGTGGGAAATGAAAGAGACACACTTTATGGGATCAGGAGGACCTTACAGGCTGATGACCTGCAAGGCATCTTAGTTTACTTTAGGTTCCTTTTTATAAGCCAGTGAAAATAACAAATTGTACTGATTAAATCAGTTTTGTCTGGTACAAAGCTATTTATGGAACATCTTCAGCTGCCACAGTGCCTGAAGGTTCATGGCTAACTACTTATCAACAAAATAAGAACATAAGTTTCTCATTTACAAAGCTCTCAGGATCCTGGGTTCAATCAAAGGTCAGACCTCAAGGAGAGGGAGCAGGCAAAACAGGAAGCCAGCCTTGCTGGCTTTTTCCCTAGAATAACAAGGACTTTGTCAGCTTGCTATTCAGTACCTCACACATATGTAGAAAAATATGGAATAAATCCGTCATTTGCAATATCAAAATATAACACATATTCATTATTTGCAATAACAAAGTAACATTCTGACCTGTTGTGGCATTGTAATTTACTTTATCATTCTCCTATTATTGGGGATTTGGGCTTATTTTTAGTTTCTTTGCTGATCCAGATAGTGCAGCTCCAGATATCTTTGTATAGTTGGTATTTTTTCTTCTGAGTTACTTCATTGGATTATAGTCTCCAGAGCAAGAATACTGGGTCAAAGACTATGTTACAAATATAAAATCTCTGATTCTGTAGTCTTTTCAATGTATTTTTATGTAATGCTGTGTGACAGTCCAGAATTGGGGGTGCCAATTTGATAATGTGCCAGTAATGTACAAAAGCATCTATTCTCACAGATTCTTTATTTGAAAATATTTATTTATTTTGGAGAGAAAATATGAAATTTTACACTTTGTCTTGATTTTCAGTTTTAAAATTGTGTGTAGCTAACCATTTCCCCAAACATTTCTTTATTGTTTGTGTTTCTTCCTTTATGTATCCTCTGTGGACATCCCTAACCTGCTACTTGTGGAAACTGGGTATTGTGCCATACATTTGAGACCATACGTAGCACAATTGTTGGGACTATTTTCCTCAACTAATTACATTTATTTCATCATAATTTTTGTGGATTTTCAGTGCCTAGAACTTTAAAATTTAAGTAATAAAATTCATTAATCTTTTCCATTAATTTATTGAGCCTGAAATTTTTAAAAATCACTTTTAAGTATCCTTAAATTACGAAAAATAGAAGTTCAGGATAAACTTAGCCAAAGTTTTTTTTAAAAAAATATTTATTTTAATTATTACATTTATCATTACACAATGTGGCCCTTACTAATTTCTTGCTAATCCCCTCCCTCCCCCTTTGCCAAAGCTTTAAAACCTGGCAAAATATTGGTGACTAATTTGATAATACATAATACAATAAAAGTTATTCCATTAATAGTAAAAAGCATAATATCACCTGTATCTAAATAATTGAGGTCAAGTAAACATTGGTAGTTTGAGACATTACATTTAATACAATAATCTTTTTTTTTACTCATATGTATGGGTTTTGAATATGTGCTTTCTCTGAACCCTACGAAAAAAAAACTGGATAAAGAGATTAGAATCTGTAGTTTTTTCTGATTTATAGAAGTTTTTTAAAAACAAATATTATGGACCTCTGTAAGCAAAGAAAAATGAATAAAATAAATTAGAATATACTTTTTATTTAAGTGTAACATTATATTAATATTGATTATTTTCAGCTGGGAAGCCTTTAACAAGTAAAGAAGAAATCAAAGGGATTCCCTGGGCATCCTGGACATGTGTGAAAGGCCCTGAAGTGAGTGGAATTTGGCCGAAATACACTGAGGTCACTGACATCAATTCAGTGGATGCAAATTACAACAGCTCAGTGCTGGTGTCTGGAGATGATTTTGGACTAGTTAAATTGTTTAAATTTCCTACTCTCAAGAAAGGTAAGGCCTGGGGTGGGAGTGGGGGTGGTGGGGGACAAGGGCAAAAGAAGGAGTGACTGCTAATGGATAGGGCTTTCTTCTGGAGAGGGGTAATGGAATGTTCTACAGTTAGACAGTTGTGATGGTTACACAACTCTGTGAACATACTTAAAATCATAGAATCGTACATTTTACTTTTTTTTTTTTTTTAAAGATGACCAGTAAGGGGATCTTAACCCTTGACTTGGTGTTGTCAGCACCACTCTCTCCCAAGTGAGCTAACCAGCCATCCTTATACAGGGATCCGAACCCGTGGCCTTGGTTTTATCAGCATCACACTCTCCCAAGTGAGCCACGGGCCAGCCGTACACTTTACTTTTTTTATTTTTTATTTTTGGCAGCTGGCCAGTATAGAATTATACATTTTAAATGGGTGAATTTTATGTTATGGGAAGTATGTCTCAATAAAGCTGCTTTAAAAAGAAAAAAGAAAGGTAAGACCAAAAGAGATGTTTGATTGAATAAAGATTTACTCTAGACTGTGTATACAGTCAATTAAGGCTTATTTTCTTGATGTCTATTCCAGCAGATTCTTCATTTTATCTTGTATATTTATATTTCCTCTTCAACAATTTTAAATAAAATGTGTTGTTGACATCTAAGATATGTAGTTTTGCAAGTTTAAGTCAGAATTTAATAGTTATTACTTACCACTTGTGATTCATGAGACTTGTTTTACAATTCAAACCATATTTTATTTTATTTATACTTATTCATTTTATTTATTTTTGCAGCTTTTGTGGTGTATGTGGGCGTACACTTGTGTATGTGTGTGTTCATTCATGTGTGCTGTGCATGCGTGTATTATTTATACTTATTTAAATACATATTTATAATTTAAATTATATATTCCTTTAAAATGGTGTAATTAAAATTCTTTCATGCCTCACAGCTACTTGTGCTTAGCTATGGAAAAGCAAAGCTAACCTTTTTAGACATAATTAAAATAAAATCTGAAAGTGATCATCCAGATGATAATACAGTTTAGGGACCCCTTGTCACAGCACTAATTTTGCAAACCAGACTTACATAACTGCTGGAATTGTTGAGAGAGAAGTTAGATTCATAACAACCTTCCCTGCCCTCACTTTCTGTTGTTTGTTTTAGTATTGTTAAGAACGTGTGACTTCAATTATGTGCACCTCCAAGCTTTGTAGAATGTGATGGAATTAACCATCTAATGACCCCATCCTCCTCTTCCTTTGCAAGTTTAGGCAAAACCCATATACAGGCTCTTCTGAGACTCCTCCACTCTATCCTGAAACTCTGATCTTAAGACCGCAATCAGCAGGGACATGCTGCTGCCTGAAGACTCTTTCACTTGAACAATTTTTAGATTAAGCAAGGAAAGGGATTGAAAAATGAAATCAGAAAGTTATTTTCAGCTAACTGGCAGTTTTGAAGCAGCCACAATTATGGTGCAAAATGGAACATAAAAAGCATAGCAAAACCACCAACACTCATACACGACAAAACAGCTATCAGTTTGAAATGCTTGAGGCACAAAATTACCTCAATGTGTCAAATTCAAACTCCTCTCTCTCCCTAATGGGCCTTTTGAGTAAAGGGCATATCTTGCTAGTTGAGTAATAAGGTGTATCTTGTTAGATCGAGTAACTTGCAGAGGGTAAGTTAGGCAACCAGAAAGTATCTGGGAATTCAGAAGGAACATTATTGGGGTCAGAAGCAATATTACTGGTCTCTAGTGCCAGAACTTGGGGGTAAAGTTAACTCAATGAGAGTTGATATCTTCTGTGTATCCCCAAGCTTGTAAGGTGGACTTGGGTCTGAAAAATAGTAACATAAATGTGAATCTATTATTAAAACTAGGTGGGGGCAGGGCACGGTGAGTAGTGCTCAAGTCACCCTGATATGAAAAATAACCCTGTGGATGATGGCACACAGAGGGCATCTGAATGAATGAGGAGAGGAGGACAGCCAGAGGCGTGGTCTGGTGAGAGCAGTAAAACTCACCTCAGCAATCTGCAGACGTATCCACACTCTCACAGCAAATCAACTTGTCCTACTTTTCACTTGTTTTATAAATCTTGCAGTAGTCCTCAGAGACGTTTAGGCTTTTGTGTCCTTTTTGTGCCAAAACTACTGGTGGGGAAGTTAGTAGAAGAGTGGGAGAATTGTTGAAGGGAATAACAGCTGTGGTAGAACTTGTCTCTGTATAACCTAGGGTGCCATGATGAGCATTTCCCCCAAGTTTTGAACCTGTAAACAGCTAAATATGAGCAGGAGCTGATGATCATGATCAAGTGCGGGAGACTGAGCAAACACTACAGTTTCCCGTTGTGACTCAATAAAACTCACAACGGTTAACTGGACACATTTGTGATTATGTGTGTGTCATACTCTGTTGCACAGTAATGAGATATGTGTTCTGCAGCTAATGAAAGTGACTGCAGAGGTATTTTTATGTAGCCAAACCAATTTGTTTTTTTCATTTTAAGTTTTAAAATTTTAAAAGAATTAGGATCAATACTGACAGTATTCCTTGATGTTACTTAGACTACATCCTGTTTGACCATTACCCCACAGGCACTGACATGAGGTAAAATCCAAAGCCTTGCTCACTGACATTTGCCATGTCTTAATACTCTTGGTACCTATCCCTACTCCAAGGGGAGACTCAAAGTCTGAGGATCTCCATGTTCCACCTGTTCACTCACATTCTGTTAATCCTTCAAACACACTCACACATGTGCTCACACACACACTCACACATGCTCTCTCACACACACACCTGGTATCCTGGATGTTGTGCGACTTGAGTTGCAAAAACCTTGAAGGGGAAAGTGCTGGTCTTCGATATAGCTTGGGCGAGCTCAATGCCATGCAGGCACAGAAAGGCCAGTGTGACTAGTAGTGAATAAGGGGAGAGCTGTGTACTGTGAGGTTGGAGAGGGTGGCGAGGAACATACCAAGAAGGGCCTTGTAGCCACTACTAGAAATTTGGTGTAATTCTAAGTGCAATGAAAAGCTATATTTTTTATGAAAATTATTTTTAACTCTTTTTGTGATTTTTTTCTTTCTTTATTATTATTATTATTAGCATAATCATTATTACAAATCATGATTTTTCTTTCTGCCCTTTACCTGACATGTCCCTTTCCAAACCCCCACCTTCCCTGCACCCATCTCCAGTAACCTTAGGTTTGTTCTCTCCTTCTAAAAGTTCAATGAATTGTTGTGGTCTTTTCTCTCTTCCTCTCTTTTTCTCTTTTTCTCTCTCTCTCCTTCTTTCTTTCTTAGCACCCAGTAATAAATGAGAACATGTGGTATTTCTCTTTCTTAGTTTGGCTTATTTCACTTAATGTAATTTTCTCCAGACTCATCCATGTTGCTGCAAATGGCGGAATTTCATTCTTTTTTATGGTTCAGTAGTATTCCATTGTGTACATATACCACATTTTCTTTATCTGGTCATTGTTGATGGACACTTAGGTTGGTTCTATATTTTAGCTATTGTAAATAGAGCTGCAATGAACATGGGAGTGTAGATATCCCTTTGACATGATGATTTCCATTCCTTTGGATATATACCCAGTAATGGGATTTCTGGATCATATGGTAGCTCTATCTGTAGTTGTTTGAGAAACCTCCCTACTGTTTTCCATAATGACTGTGCTAATTTACAGTCCTATCAACAGCGTAGAAGGGTTCCCCTCTCCCCACATCCTCGCCAGCATTTGTTATTCTTAGTCTTTTTTAATAATGACCAGTCTAACTGGGGTGGATGACATCTCAGTGTGGTTTTGATTTGCATTTGTCTGATGACTAGTGATGCTGAGCATTTTTTCATGTACTTGTTGGCCATTTGTATGTTTTCCTTTGAAAAGTGTCTATTCATCTCCTTTGCCCTTTTTGTAATTGGATTTTTTTTAACTGTATAGTTGTTTGAGTTTTTTGTATATTCTGGGTGTTAATCCCTTGTCAGATGTGTAGTTTGCAAATATTTTCTCCTGTTCTGTAGGTTGTCTTTCTGCTCTGTTGATTGTTTCCTTTGCTGTGCAGAAGCTTTTTAGTTTGATATAATCCCATTTATTTATTTTTTTCTTTTGATGCTTGTGCTTTTGGGGTCTTATTCATAAAGTCTTTGCCCAGACCTATTACCTGGAGTGTTTCCCCTATGTTTTCCTTTAGTGATTTTATGGTTTCAGGTCTTATATTTGTCTTTAACCCATTTTGAGTTGATTTTGGTATATGGTGAGAAATAAAGGTCCAATTTCATTTCCCTGCATATGGATGCCAGTACAATGCCATTTTTATGCCAGTACCATTCCATTTTGCTTACAATAGTTTCGTAATATAATTTGAAGTCGGTTAGTGTTATTCTTCTGGCTTTATTTTTTTTTGCTTAGGATTGCTTTGGCTATTTGGGGTTTTTTGTTGTTCCATATGAATGTTTGGATTGCTTTTTCTGTTTCTGTGAAGAATGTCATTAGTATTTTGATGGGAATTGCATTGAATCTGTAGATTGCTTTGGGTAGAATAGACATTTTCACGATGTTAATTCTTTCCATCCAAGAGGATGGTATGTCTTTCTACCTTTTTGTGTCCTCTTTAATTTCTTTCAGTAGTTCTTATTGTAGATAGCTAATGAAAAACTATTGAGGGTTTTAAGTGGAGAAATGATGTGACCAGTTTAAGTTTTCAAAAGACGACTTTCATATTGTGTGGAATGGGTTAGGGAAGGGGAGGCTTCAAGTAGAGAGATTATTGCAAGAGCCCAGGTAAGAGGTGACATGGCTTGTGCAAAGTTTTGGGGAACAGATGCAAAGAGAGGTGGTTGGATTTAGGAAACAGTTTCAAGAGCTGAAGGACTCTCTGATTCATTGATGTGGGAATAGAGGAAAAGAAAGGAATTATCAAGGATGATTCTTAAGTTTTGAGCTTGAGCAATGGGATCGTTAGTTGGTGCCATTAACAGAGATAGGAAGATGAAAAAAGGTTTTTTCCTCTGTGTGTGCATGTTTTATGGGGGTAGGAGTGTAAAGGGAAGTTTGAAGCACCTATTAGACATCAAAATGGACATGACACATGGCCTGTCAGCACTCCAGGGAGAGTTTAGGGCTGGAGTTGAACATTTGGCGTGTCATGGGCATATCGACAATATTTGAAGCTATGGGAGAGAAAGTTGATAGAGAAGAGATGAAGGCTGATGCCTGAGCCCTCCTTGCGGTACAAAGAACGAAGGGAGGTCTTGTAAAGTCACTTAGTGTCCTAAGGAAAGCCTTGGAAGAGATGAATTGGCCTATGTTTATTCAATAAATATTTAGTGCTGTTCTAGAAGATGAGAATATGTCAGTGAACAGAACAAGCACAAATCCTGGCCCTCATGGAGCTTTGTTCTATTTGGGGGGACACAGTCAATCCACAAGAAAATATAGACATGTCTGATAGAGTGGTATGAAGAAAAATGAAGCAAACGATAGGAGCAGGAGTGCTGAGGCATGGCAGCATAGTGTTGCTATTTTAAATAAGGTGGTCAAAGAGGGGCTCACTGTTAGGGTTTCAATTGACTAGAAACCTGAAGGACATGAGGGAACCAGCCCTCAGATATCCAGGGAAGGAGGATTCCAGAGAGAGGGAACAGCAATGCAAAGCCTAGAGGCAGAGAGTGCCTGGCATGCTTGAGGAATAGCAAAGGGGCTAGTGTGCTTGGAGCAGCATAAGTGAGCAGGGGAGAGGGAAGAAAAGATCAGAGATATGATGTCTAAATATTAACGACACTAGTGCTTTTGCAACTTCTAGTTCCAACCTCCCAAGAGTGGATTAGGTATCTATTGTTGCATAACAAATTACCCGCCAAATTTAGCAGCTTAAATGCACAAGCATTTATCATCTCATGGTTTTAGGATGCAGGGACTCACAAGAAGCATAGCTGGGTGATTCAGGTTTAAGGTCTGTCATGAGGTTGCAGTCATCTGAAGGTTAGACTGAGACCAGAGGATCCACTTCCAACAAGGCTAACTCACATGGCTCTTGGCAGGAGGCCTCAGTTCCTTGCCACGTGAGCCTCTCTGTGGACTGCTTGAGTGTCTCTAACGACATTCCAAGCAGAGACCCAAAAAAGGGAGTAAGGAAGAATCCTCAATGCCTTTTTAACCTCTTCCTGGCTGTCACCTTCACTTTTGCCATGATCTATTAATTTTGATTTGTATCAAAGAATTGGTGGACATTTTTAAGCTACTACGAAGAGACAGGTTAAATGATCTCTGAGGAGGGTATAAAGGTCAGGACAGCAAAAGGTAGCCCAACACTTTAAGATCTGCAGGGAGATGGGAAGAATATACCCTGCCCCCCAATTATTGAATTTTCAGCCAGAATTTCCAACTGACCTTAGTTGGAATCAGTTTGACTTTATTACCAAAACAGATTTAGGCTACTCTTTGAAATAGGCAAAGTTGCTTTTGAGACTCAATGCTTCCTTTCCCTTCTGCAGCAGTATTCCCCTAATTGTTTTTGGAGGCCCTGATATAATAGAGCTTACCTGGTTAGAGCATGAACTCAAGAAAGGGGCATGTGGCAGTCATTTTACCTTCATATAAATCATTATCTCTCCAGGGGGTATTTGGATTTTAAAACTGATAGTTGAACAGATGGCCTCAGCCCCTTTCCCCCCATTAAAGGGATTTCATTTAAAGGAACTGTTAAGAGGTAGAGGCACTTTTGAAGGGGAGTGGGGTGCTTGTTGACCTGAAACCTCCCACTGACTTTGGAGATCCCAGCCTCCAGGTAAGTGGACCTTGCCTGTTAATGCGTCCCTTTAAGCTGCTGTGAACTGAGCTTGCACTGGAGATTTCACTACAGTAGTTCAACCCTGAATATAACTTCAAATAGCTTTTCCTATTGCATATGCTACCTGGGGATGGGGTTTACCAAGTAAAGCAACAAATTTAAGAGAAAAAAATGTATTTTCCCAACTCGATGTCTATATGACCCCAAACAATAATTTGACTTTGATTTCCACAGAATTATTTTCCACTTCCCTATTGCAAAGGACTGCCTGTTTTATCTTGCACTTAAATAAAAATATGTAATATGTTCACTCTTTATCATTTATTTTCAGAATCAGTGAAGCAGTAGGTGTTATTTGGAACAAGTTCAGATGTGTCTTTTGCTACAGGGCTTAAATTTTAAGACCCATTTTTAGCTAATGCACACTGGAATAATTGAGTTATCTTTTGGAGCATTTGCTTATGTGTTATATGATATGTAAGACTGAAAATTATTTTTTAATATTTTTTAAAGATTTTACTTCACAACATGAATAAAATGTGATTTTTTTGAATCAATGAATTCTCTTTTTTCACATAACTAATATTTTCCTCCAATAATATCTTTCCAGGAGCCAAATTTAGAAAGTATGTGGGCCATTCTGCACATGTCACAAACGTCCGCTGGTCCCATGACTTTCAGTGGGTGTTAAGCACAGGAGGGGCTGACCACTCGGTTTTCCAGTGGAGGTTTATTCCGGAAGATGTCAGCAACGGCATGTTGGAAACTGCACCCCAGGGTAAAACCAGTAATAATTTTTCGATATCTGTTTTTCAATAAACATTTCAAGGAATGTTCTAGCATCTATTCTAAAGGTAAAGGGTTAAAGCAATTTTGAAAAAAATCATTTCTATAATTTTAAAAATTTTTAAAAAGAAAAAAAACTTTTGAGACTAATAGTGTCAATTGGATCATTTCCTTCAAAGGGTTTTGCCTTATACCAAATGCAAATTGAAGGTCTAAGGTTTACATGAAGCATTAACCTTTGAAGATAACATGAAAGTATATGTTTCAGCCTTCTTAGGACAATTGTAATGGGGAGTGAGCCTGCTCGGTCAGGCTGCATGGTAACAGTGTAACCTTTGGAATGGAAGTTGCCTCCAGAATGGGATTCAAAGAGTGGTCCACAATTGGGGCCCATGTGTTCCAGTTCAGTGGATGTGTAATCTTTTTATTTATATCCACTGTGATGTCAGAGGGAATGAACAGGTAATAAAAAAAAACTACTAAAGTAAATGTTTCTATTGGGAAGGGTTCAGCAGTGATTTTGACCATGGCAATTACAAGCACTTGGTGGGCATGTTAAAAGGCTAAAGAGGATCTTTACTGAAGTAAGTGATTGGATTTCTTTTTGCCCAGTCTGCCCTTTGGTAAAATCTGCCCTTTTTACATTTTTCAAAGCAAGGTTTTAAAACCAGGAATCTACTATCTAATAGAAGTATAGAAATAAGTTCAGTGTGCCTGGGGGGATGTTGTCCTAGTCTGTTAACGCTCCTGGAAGGAGATGAGGGTTGGACTGAATTTAATCAAAAGATGAAAGAAAAAAAGATGTTTTAAAAATCTATATTAAATGAAAATTATGATGTAGTTATTTTTTATTTGTTAGGATATGAGAAAGAAAATATTTTTAAAAATATTTTTAGCTATGTAGAGTCTTAGAGTTTTGCTTGTTTCTTGTGGGTTGTATTTCTGCAGAAGGTGGCACTGATTCCTACAGTGAAGAATCTGATTCAGATTTATCTGATGTGCCCGAGTTGGACTCTGATATTGAGCAAGAAACTCAAATCAATTATGATCGCCAAGTGAGTAAGCAGGGAGTAATGAAACGCATAACCCAGAACCTGCATCTCATTGGTTTTGGACATTGCACTAAAACTGACTGGCAGATAGGAAAAAAAGAATTAAGGCAAAAATAAGAAACATTGCCTACTTCTTGCCTTTAAATACAGGTTAAAAATAAAGTGTTTCCTGATGATATCATTAAAAATTTAAGTGAAAGGTAGTTGCAGAGTTTCAAAACTGAATCCCTGACATTTGGGCTTTTTGCCTTCCTAGCACCAAAAACTTTATATATCAAATAATAAAGATCTTTTTGTTTGCAGAAAAATGTGCCAGGAAGCCATAGTTCTTTTTCATTTTTTGAGCAGATCATGAAAGCATGTGTTTTCTTTACAGGATGGATACCCTCGAGGCATGGTAGTTACATGTGAGCTGTTATCTCTATTAACTTATGGTGACCATTATCCATTTAATTAAAGAAATTATCCATTTACTTAAAGTAAAAGTCCAAATACAACACACATTATCACTACAGTCAGAAATCATCCCCAATAGAAAAGTTGGTCAATTGCATCCAAATGTTTTTGGAAGCTGACATTCCATTTTAGCACTAAACAGTGAGTGTTGAAGAAAGCAATGCTTGAGAGGAAACGACACACACTGCCTTGTTATGGTGATAACTGTAGGGGTTCTCTTTTCTTCCTTGTCATTTTACAAAGGTATGTGAAACAGATTCTGTACGTGAACATGGAGTGAATAAGATTTCAATATCAGATACATCAGCTGTCAGTTGCCCATGGAGACTTACCATACAGACCTGTGGCAGCTACCACATATCAAGTGTCTCTGCGGGCCAGAATCCTGGGCTTTACATGCATCAAGTCCAACCCCACAATAACCCTGAGAGGTTAAGTAATTTGTCCACGTCTGCTTTGCCTTTAGTATCAGGATAAGAATGCTGATCTGGGCTTCTCTCCAAAATGAACATTCTGTGCACTACTTGGTTTGCCTCTGTATGAACCTTATATGAACTCCTTTCCAGATGATTACATTTTTTTTCAGCCAATGATCATTACTTATTGACTCAGTGTTTGAAAAACTGGATTAGTATAAAGGCAGTCCAACTGATGATTGGGGTCAACTTCATGACTAAGTCAGCTTGACTGTGTATTGATATGACATATTACACAAAATAACTGTTAAAAGGATTTGAAAGAAAGTTATTGATGTAGAAATATGCAAACACTAAACAATGTTATATGCTCATATCAGGGAAATGATATTTAAGCAAAACATGAGATTTAGGGGAAAAAAAAGAAATTTTATCTAGTTGGGAAGTTTTTATTTGATAAAATGGTGCCAGTAAAGAATAAAAAGACATGCCTGTATTGAAAACCATGCCTAGGACTTATATATTCTCCCTGATGTCTTACTTTCCAATGCTTTCACTATATAATTTGACTTATGTTCACAATATTCCTGAGTTATTCCTGAGCCGGGGTTTTAACTCTGTTCTACAGATGGGGATTTAAAGCCCACAGTTTATAAGACTTGTTCAAATAAGCAGTAGAAACAAGACTAGAATTCAGTGCTCTAAAGTAAACCATCGATAAGTTGATGAAAGCATCATTAATTCAGATGAATAATCTTTAGATTTTAAAAGCTCATTTTATTGCATCTGTAATAGAAAAACCAGTAATGAGATATCTTCTGACTTCCTTTTTTAAATTACTTTTGGTCAGATTCTAACCAGGGACTTTATTATATAATACTTTATGATTTTTTTTTAGCAATATAGTTAAATAAAAACTTTCCTTCATGAAGATGAGAAAATATTAATAATTATATATCATTTTCATGTATTAAATTGACATTTCTTGATAGGCCATAAATACATGATAAAGAACAGATTGATTTTCATGTACATTAAAATTGTAACATCAACAGCAGAGTTTAGGTCCTAGGTTAGACTGAGAGCTTTGTTCTATATCTCAAAGTTTGATCTGTCAAGATGCATGAGGCCATGAAAGGAAGATAATTCTGAAAAGTGATTTTAGAAAAAAAATCACCATGACTCATGAGGTCCACATTTTGCAATGTTAGAATCGTCAAGAGATTTTTTTGCCTTAAAAGAAATAAAATATTTTATTTATATTTTGATAATTTAAATAATTAAAGTTCTTTCTTTGCTAACAGTATATTTTCTGGATATAAATTACCTAAGAAAATAATAACAAATCCAAAAAGAAATTATTTAAAATCCCATTTACAAAATATTTCGTGTTTTGTGTATTAAGGGAAAGTAATATTTGATCCCATGTCTTATGTTTTCAAAAACTTTGTATTGAAGCAATTAAAGGTGTCTTAAGAGTGCCAAGATATTAATGTTTTTCAAACCTGAAGAAAGGTATCTCAACTAAATGTTTTTGTTGTACTTTAAGGTTTACAAAGAAGATCTACCTCAGCTAAAGCAACAAAGTAAAGAGAAAAACCACGCAGTGCCCTTCCTCAAGCGAGAAAAGGCTCCTGAGGACAGCTTGAAACTCCAGTTCATACATGGGTGGGTGGCCTGGCCTGGGGACCTCGTGCATCTTCCTGTCTCTGCCAAATCTGCGCCAGCCTTATTGCCAGGCTAAAGAGATCCCCTCTTTTCAATGCTGTCTCCCTTCAGGCTGGTTCTTCTGTCCAGTTTACGCTCAGACCTGCTGTTGATATTGTATCTGTGATTCTCTGTCCAGTTTTCTCAGTCAGTGTTCTGTGACCATCACAATGTGATTGTCTCTAGATTTTTCATACTTTCTTTAGTCCCATGATACAGACGCAACTGCCACTCACTGGTACTTCATTGCCTTTTCACACCCATCTCTGCGTCCTCTGTTCCCCAACACCCTTGCTTTATTTTGCTGGCTCCTCCCTAGGACAATATTTTCATCAAATACTTTTCTTACATGTGCCCAAAATCATTTTGTATTTTGTAAAATTATATATACCCTTGCACATTTTAAGTTGACATCTGAAATTTATCTATGTAAATTTAAGCAGTTGAGAAAAATATAATATCTGATGTGTTATAAATACTCACACATTTGGATATATCCAAAGGAACCTAAATGCCATAAATTTGATTCCCACTATTATCAACTTAAAAAATATATGAACAAATTTTCTATAACAGGAGGATATTTTATATCTTTCATATTTCTATTTAAATTCATATTTCCATTCTAGTTCTCCCATAAAATTTTACCCTAACATAATGTTTTTATGCTTAAGAGTCTTTTGTCACTGTATCATACCTTCTGCCAGAAAAAAAAGTCTGTTAGTTCAATTTCAATTTTATTTCCTATGACTTTAATACTCTCTGTCCAATATAGTATCCACTAGCCACACATGGCTGAGCACTTAAAACTTACTGAGCTAGGGCCGGCCCGGTGGCGCACTGCTACAGTGCGCCGCTTGGGAGCGTGGTGGCGCTCCCGCCGAGAGTTCGGATCCCACATACAGACCGGTTCCCGCTCACTGGCTGAGCGAGGTGCGGGCGCAACACCGAGGGTTGCGATCCCGTTGCTGGTCCCGGTCCGGTCCGTGCGACACTGAGGGTTGCGATCCGTTGCCGGACACGAAAAAAGACAAAAAGGAAAAAAAAAAAACTTACTGAGCTAGTCTGAAATGAGATGTATTGAGTCTGTAAAGTGCACACCACTTTCAAAGATTTAGCATGAAAAAGGAGTATAAAATATTTCATTTAAATGTTTTTTATATCAATTGCATGTTGACATGACATGATATATTGGAGATGTATTGGGTTAAAAATATGTTACTGAAATATATTTCATCTTTTTTTTTTTTTTTTTTTTTTTTTCTTTTTCCTTGTCCGGCAACGGATCACAACCCTCAGTGTCGCGCCCCTACCGGACCGGGACCGGCAACGGGATCGCAACCCTCGGTGTCGCCCCCGCGCCTCGCTCAGCCAGTGAGCGGGAACCGGTCTGTATGTGGGATCCGAACTCTCGGCGGGAGCGCCACCACGCTCCCAAGCGGCGTACTGTAGCAGTGCGCCA